GCTCGAGAACGTGTTCAGCTCCCAGCGAACTGACTCCCAGAGGGGTACAGCGGTACAATGGCGGAGCCTCCGCACGAACGAGTACACGGAATTGAAGATGGACAAATGCTCTCGACATAGTAAGGCGACAAAGGTGCAATGTCCCAACACTTTTTCGACGTCTCTCGGGTCCACGGTACGGCGGCTGACCAAGCAGTCCAGAGCCAGCCGAAGTCGCCACAGCCTTGATCTTTTGGGTCGAATCTCGCACTCTCTTCCCCGGATCTCCCAGCCAAGAATGTCGGCATCGTGATCGCACGTGCACACCTCATGAGTTGGAAGACCCTTCTGTGTCAAGGCCGCGTTGACTAAGGTCACGGCACGCCGCGCCGCCTCGGGATCGGTGCCCAAGGCCAAAAAATTGTCAACGTATATAGTCATTGCCAGCGGCTGCAGCCCCGGCACTACGCTCTTGTCCGCAATGAAAGGCACATCACTCAGCTCGGGAATCGAGCTGACTATGGAACGGTGGATGGTCTGGTACCAGTACAAGGCGTGCGACCAGCCCATCGGGAGCACGGCCAGCACCGGCCAGACACGACTCCCAGGCTGTAGCGGCCGCTCTCGAAGCCTCACCATCCCCACGTCCCCGGCCTTCACGGACGGCAGGGCGAAGTAATCCCGGAAAGCCTCGGGCAGGCCGAAGTGGTAAAAAGCGTCGCAAATGTCCACGTGCCCGACATAGAGCTCCTTGCCCTCGGGCACGGACAGCTCGCCAAGGGAAGAACCGGTGGCTAGCGCAACCGATGCAGGCCGTTGAAACCAACAGTTGGCTCGACGGCAGTCGACTACCATGCGCTGCTTGCCAGACTTCTTACGGACGAAGAAAAGGCCGCACCTCTCGCGCGGCGTGTCCGTGTAGGTCACCATCCCAGCGTCGGCGAGCCGCTTGACCAAGCGGGCGTGCACCCGCGGGTCTCCTCTCAAATTCGTGTCCATGTACGGCTGCCTCGGGGCTGCCAGAAGATTGGGTTCTGCCTCCTCAGTTCGAAGAAGCTGCTCGTGCATTGAGGCCTCGACATCAAAATCGCCCTCGTCCTGGAGCAGCTGCCCGAGCGGCACAGGAATGTTGCCGGCCTCCGGCAGCGAGACGAGGGAATCGTCGAAGCTGACCACCGGCGAGTCGAGATCTTCGTACACGCTGGCGCCGCGGAGCTCTCTGAGGGCTCCCGCGGGAGTGAGGTCGGGAAGGGGCGGGCCCAGCTCGACTGCGGCGCGGCGGACGCGCTCGTGCACCAGCCGATGGGGAAGTCGCTCCGCCAGGCCCGGGGCGCCTGGCGCCTGGGGCCTCCCGGCCAGGTCGTTCAAGGCCCCGATGACGCGATTGCACTCCTGCACGATGGCGTCGCGCCGAAGCAGCCGCCGCCGCACGCTGCGGCACACCGCGCCCTCTGAGGGCGCCTGGCTGTCCACTCGCAGAAGGGGGGCAGGAAAAAGGTCCCGGCGATCAGCTGCATAATCGGGTTGGATTCGTCCAGGCATGGATGATGGATCGCCCTCCATCCTGGCGGCCTTGAGGTCCGGGGAGGAGGCGGCCGCCTGATAGCCCCCCCCCCGCTGATGCATCATCCCTTGCCTCCGCCGCTGTCCCCTGCCTTGGGGCCCTTGCGGCGGAGTTCTCGTTCTTCTCTGGCTTTCCGAATGTTCTTCATGATGGCGGCATCCTTCTCGACCTGCGTCTTCACATGCTCCAGCAGCTGAGGGGCCACCATGAGGAGGTCGCCCGCCTTGCTGAAGCCGCTGAACGCCGAGAACTCCTCGGGGCTCATCTTGTCCTTCGAGCTCGCGGAGTCCGCCTCTCGAAACCGATCATGATAAGCCCATTCGATGGTCTGCGCCCGGCGGAGGATCGCCCCCGCGAAGGCGCAGTTGCTGAGGTCGAGCTGGTCGTAGGTGCCCGCCAGCTCAAGGTACTTCATCAGCTGCTCATGCTCCTGGACTCCCCATTGCTCCATCTGGAGGCGGGCCGTCGTCTTGAACATCAGGTGGTGGTCCGTCGGGGTGTGGCGCCTCCGCAAGAAGTCGAGACACCATGACGTCGACCTCGGGCCCGCCACAGGGAAGTCGCCGAACGGCTCCTCCTCACGAGTCCACCACGTCCCGCCACTCGCGCCCCCGGCCGCGCGGCCCCGTCCTCACAGGGAGGGCGCGGGCGTCGCCCGTCGCGGCCGCAACGCCGCCGGGGGCATCGCCGACCGAGGCAGCGCGCCTGAGGGAGGCCGCGAGGGCGTCCTTGTCCAGGGCAGTGAGGGGCACCACGATGGCCCGCCCAGGCGCCACCTCGAACAGCCCGCGGTCGTGCAAGGCCAGACTCGGGGTGCCGACCCAGTCGCCGATCTCGATGGGCCGCGAGCTATCAGGCTCCGCGGCGCGCCAGAAGTGCCCTGGCGGAGGAGGCGTCACGGTGCCCCCCACTGAGTTGGGCACCGCGGGGACAGCCAGCGCATCGCCGCCGTCCGCCACCTGGTCGCCAGGCACGTCCGTCCCGGCCGCCAGCGCGTCTCCAGCGGCAGGCATCCCCTGCTTGCCAGTCACCCGCCGACCGCCGAAGAAGTTGCGCCCGAGCTCAGCCTCCACCGAGACATCGCGACCCTCCTGGGAGCGGATCACCTGGGGCGTCGCCAGCTGCAGCCCGCGACTGCGAGCGTCGGCCGTCGAGGCTGCGTATGCCCGGCGGTACAGGCCCCGCAGCTCGCCGGGCTGGTCCTCTCCGAAGCGGTATGACCGGCCCAGTCCTGGCGGCAGCCGCAGGTCTCGTGCCACGAGCTGCCACTCCACGGGGCTGTCCTCCGGCGAGCCGCCCTCTAGCTCTTCGAGGTACATGTCGCCGTCTGGGGTCAGGACGACCCAGCACGCCCCGTCCTCAACGTCCGAGGCGGCCGGGTACAGGAGGATCCGCTCGTGCCAGAGGTCGTCCTCGGCGTAGCGGACCATCACTCGGCATCCCGGGATCAGCCTCGCCGAGGGCCCCGCCGATGAGCAGGGTCCGCGCACCTCCACCAGCGCCATCGCTCTCGGGGCCCGTCACCCAGGCGCGCGTCAGGAGACAGCCGAACACGAGCCCCAGCACCAGCGACGCCACGCAGAGCCAGCCGGCGTCGTGGCAGACGGTGCTCCGCTCCGCCACGTCCCGCACCGCCGCCGCCAGCGCGTCGCACTGCTGCACGGCCTCGGGGGAGCCCAGCCAGACTGGCTCGCCCCCTCCGCCGCCCGGCGCCCCGGGCCCGTCTGGCGCCTTGCCACAGGCGCAGTGGCACCCCGGGCAGGCGGGGCACGGCGGCGCGGCGGGGCAGAGAGGGCACGGCGGCACCGATGGGCAGCTCGGGGGGAGGGCCCACGACGCGCCAGCGTGCAGGCCCGCGCGGGCCAGCTCTCGGGCGCCCGCAACCCCCGCGTCGACTAGGGGGCGGAGGGCGTCCTTCATCACCTGGAAAAAGACTTGAGCAAAGGTGGCCATCGGACACGATGGGCGGCAACGGGACCGACGGCGAGGATTCAAATACGTGTGGAACACTGAACTACCATAACATTTCACAACATATTGTGCCATGACAAATCACAACATATCATACCATATCACCTCATATCATATCATATCACATCATGCCATGTCATATCATGTCATACTATGTATGTGACTACCCACCAGACCACCCCAACCCAACCCGAAGACCCGAATTTCGGGTTGGGGGGGTAAGGGTCCCACATGTGTTTTTTCGATGTTTCCCGACACCCCCCCCACTGGAAATCGAGGGTAAATCTGAGCCTTCGGGTTGGGTTGGGGTGGTTTGGTGGGTGGTGAGTATGTGCAGATGTAATTATATCTATACATATGCATTTACACAGCTATTCAATAAAGTGTACCTGACAATCGCCGTACTAATGCAGGGTCCCGAGTGGGCCCTCTTCGGGGTCTCTCGAGGCCGTTTTCAGGCCGTCTTGGGGTCCTCCTGAGCCGTCTTGGCCCCTCACTGCAACCTTGAGGGCCTGTTGAAGCTGTTCTGGAGCGGTCTGGGGGCCCAATTGGGCTGTCCTGGGGCCCTCTTGGGCCGCTCGGAGCCGGGGGCCCTCTTTGAGCGTCTTGGGGCCGTCTTGGACCCCTCTTTGGCCGTCCTGGGCTCGTCTTAGGGGCCCTCTTGGGCCATCTAGGAGCGATCTCGGAGGCCTCTTCGGCCGTCTCGGGCGCTCTGGAAACCGGCAAGCCGAGTATACGGAAATTGCACCAAAACGTTGGGACAATCTAAAATTTTGACCTCCCGGGGGCCTCTTGGGAGTCGTCGTTGGGCCCCCTTTGGCCATCTGGGGGCCTCGTTGGACCGTCGAATGCCCATCTTGGTCTTGGGCCATCTTGGGCCCATCGTGGCCGTATGGGGGTGCTCGTCGGGCCCTCCTGAATATTCATGGGGCCCTCTGGGGCCGTCTTGGGGCCATTAAGGGCTGTTTTGGTCCCTCGTGGGGCGTTCCGGAAACATGCTCCCCAGCCAGGCCCAGAGTTGTGCCAGGTCAGTTGTTTATGTATATAGTACTCATTGCATTTGTGCGATTATACACATGCTTTGGTATCAAAAAACGGTTGGCCCAGCACAGAGCAAAAGCAGCGGGAACACCGCACGGAACCGAACCGACTGCGGCGCGAACGAAAACCTCCAAACGGAACAAAAACTTGCCCCCAACCCCAAATGGAAAAACAAGGTCGGTCTTCAACAAACTGGAAAAATCGCCCCCAGCGTTTCAGAGACCTTCTAGATGGGGTTGGGCCCGAGCTAATGGGGTCAGAGGATCGAACGGCATCGCCGATGCATCGGCGATGCGGCTCGATGTGGAACCCGACTTTCTCCACGCCGACGTCGCCGACGCATCGCCGACGTCGCCGATGCATCGACGATGCATCGGCGACGCGGCACAATCCTCCGACCCCATATACTCGGACCCCATCCGGGAGGCCTAAGAATTTGTCATACGTGCCATCTGAGCGCCCGGCCCCCGCCCGGGGATCGCATCGCCGTCGCTGGCGCGTTGCCGCACCAGCGGCAATTCTGGCGCGGGCACGTCGGGCGTGACGGGCCGCCGGGAGGCCCGTCCGCTAGGCCCGCTCTTCCGGGGCGACATCAGGAAGGAGGAGCGTCGCTCCCCAGCGCCTGGAGGAACCAGAAATTACCGATACCGCTGCGATTCGGGCAGTTCGGGGGTGGACAGAATTCCTTTTTTTACAAAAACGCTTTTGAATGAAAACTGCCCATGGCACTCGACGCTGCATTCCGAACGGGCCCGTGCGGGGTAGCCAATCGACGTCCAAAAACAAGCGAATGTATCTGGCGAAACGCACATCGATTAGCGAAACCGACTGAGGACTGCACAGATGCACGCGAATGCCTACATCGACTGAACCGCTGCAGATTTCCTCTGTCGACTTGTCTGGGCAGGAGTCCTGTCAACGCCCGAGCGTTGGACTCTGACCCCCTCGGGTCATGAAATTAGCATGGCGAAGGACCCAACCGCGCGCGGTTGTGAATACCGCATATGCGAATATCGTCTTCGGCGGACCTCCTCATCGGGGCACGAACCGCGCAAAGGGTGTGCCACAGTGGAACGGCGGCGGCACGCGGGCGCTGCCACTGGGGCCTTCGGCGGGGCTCCCTATGGGGCTTTCGGCATAGCTCCCTTTGTCCGTGGTCTGTTCGACGGAAAGCAAAAAAACTAGACCGTCCAAGATTGCCCGTCCAATCATTTTTTCCCTCTGTGCCCGCGCGCCCCAAAACACACGCAGCGCGGGGTCCCCGCGACGCGCGCCGGTCGCCCCGAAGGGGTCCCAGAGACGCGCGCGGGTCGTCCGCTGCGCTTAGCAAAGAGAGCTAGCTTGCTGGCCGATTGCGGGCAAGGCTCTGGCTGCTAGGCAGAGCGACGATAGGTGGGCGAAGCGCTGGGCAGAGCGCGGCGTGGAGTGGAGTTTCCGCGACGCGCGCTGGTCACGTCGCGGGGGAATCGTTAATGGCAAACCCAAGAACCGTCAGGGCCGACGACGTGGACTCGCCAGGAAAAAATTAAGGGGGGTCGCAGAACTCACGGAAACACCTCCCTCACCGCTAAGAGGGGGTCACAAAAAATGACGACCGCCACCTGGGGAACTGCGGGGATATTGCAGCGCGGAGGAGGGGTTGGGAGTTCTGACGACGGCGCGGCCGCCCGACCCGTTAGTCCCATTCGCCGAAAACGAACCGACGACGGCGCGGCCAGCAAACCCCTGAGTCGCTTTCTTCTGGAGTCGCGCAAGTGATCTGGTTGCTCCGAGAGGGCCCCAGCCACGCGCGCGGGTCGCCCGCGGCGCGGGGCCAAACAATCGGACCGCCGAGAGAAGGCGAGGCTCGGGCGGGCCGCTCCCCTGGTCAAGCCTCGCGGGTAAACTCGGTGAAGCCCAGCTCCCTGGTGAAGGCCGTCGCCTCCCTCCGGCGCCGCTTCGTGCGCGCCGCACACTGCTCCAGCTGCTTCCGCAAGCCCTCTGGCGGCCCTGCCAGGAAGAACTCGATCCGCGGCGCCCGCATGAGCAGGAGGTCCTCGTGGCGCGCGGAGCGCGAGAGCAGCGCGTAGAGTTCCAGCCACCAGTCGTCGTCCTCCTGCTTGTCGTTCCCGACCTCGTGGCGGCCGCAATCCAGGATCGCGCATGGGCGACGTCGGCCGAGGGGGTGGCGCGCCAGACAGCCGACGGCCCACGGCGAAGAGTCTACAGGACCGAGAGAAGGTCTGGCTGCGGACCGCTCGCGCCCAGGCTATGGGGCCACGAAGCGCGCGAAGTGTGTGTGTGTGTGTGTGTGTGTGTGTGTGTGTGTGTGTGTGTGTGTGTGTGTGTGTGTGTGTGTGTGTGTGTGTGTGTGTGTGTGTGTGTGTGTGTGTGTGTGTGTGTGTGTGTGTGTGTGTGTGTGTGTGTGTGTGTGCTCCCAATGGGGCCACGAACGCTGTGCTGGGCGCAAGAACCGCATGTGAGTTCCGCCACCGGGACCTTCGGTGGAGCTCCCTACGGGGCCACGAAACGCTGTGCTGGGCGCAGGAACCGCATGCGCGCTCCGCCACTGGGACCTTCGGTGGAGCTCCCCATCGGGCCACGAAGCGCTTCACTTGGCGCAGGAACCGCATGCGACCTCCGCCACCGGGAAATTCGGTGGGTTCTGTATGGGGCCACGGAATGCTGTGGTTGGCGAAAGAACCGCATGCGAGTTCCGCCGCCGGGACCTTCCGTGGAGCTCCCTATGGCACGAAAAATTGCGCTGGGCGCAGGAACCGCCGGCGAGTTCTGCCACTGGGACCTCCGGTGGAGCTCCACATGGGGCAACGAAACACCGCGCGGGGGGCAGGAACCGCATGCGAGTTCCGCCACTGGGACCTTCGGCGGAGCTCCCTACGGGGCCACGAAACGCTGTACTGTGCGCAAGGACCGCACGTTCCGCCACTGGGAGGCCACGAAGCGCTGTGCTGGGCGCAGGAACCGCATGCGAGTTCCGCCACTGGGGCCTTCTGTGGGGCTCCCTACGGGACCACAAAGCGCTGTACTGGGCTCTAGAGACGCATTGAGCATGATGATGATGATGATGATGATGATGATGATGATGATGATGATGATGATGATGATGATGATGATGATGATGATGATGATGATGATGATGATGACGATGACGATGACGATGACGATGATGATGACGATGGGAGGGAGGAGGGCGAGGAGGAAGGAGTGAGTGAGGAACGCGGGGCGGTGTCTCTTCAAAACGAGGGCCCAACACCACACGATGGTTCGGACAAAACCAGAAAATGAAGGGAGGTATTTGGCAATTCTCGGCCTCCAGGAATCCTCGCCATGCCACGGGACCGTGGAACAACTGGCCCAGGACGAAAAATCAATCCTGGGGAATGGGTCGAAACCGCTCGAGGCCTCCCAGGGTCCACGTTATGAAAAATTCATGACGTCGGGGGTCTGGGGAAAAAGAATCATGGGATAAGGAATCCAAGGTCTAGACTAGAAGGCAGTGGAATTCCAATAGTGGCCATGGATGGCACCGCCGTCCTCATCAATTAAGGAATTCTCCAAGGTCCGAGGCCTCCTGGGCACACGTAATGAAGGTCAAGACCGTGCTCTCTGGACCTCTCTCAAGGTGCGTTCTGACCAGAATCCCACCAGCCCTCAGGGCGTGATTGGTTGGAGCGTTTCCTCTTTTAACCTCTTCTTCCCCTCTGGGCAGGGGTTTACCAATGTTCCCTATTAGGAAACGCCCCCTCCCCCAGACGACCGGCAGCCAACCAGGACCAATGAGACCCCCCCCACCATTCCTATCAAAAAGCCATGTGACGTCCTCGTTGGGGCAAAATCTTGGGTGGGGGGGCGCGAGCACTTTGTATTGTGTTTTGACAGGGACGGCGGGGGTGTCTGCATATTACATGCTGCGTGCAGGGCCAACATCCTTTTCGAAAAACAATACAAAATGCACTTCGAGGCAAAATCTGGATCATGCGCGGGCACCTCGCGATCACTGTGCATTAGTTTTTGACTGGGGTGGCGGAGGTGCTGGCATATTGCCTGCCATGCGCAGGCCAACCAAACGCTATGATGGCCACCCCGCCGCGATTGCGCGCTGGTTTTCGAAAAGCGTGGTGGGGGCCGACACGTTTCCCGATGTGTACTGCCACGTGCGCAGGCGCACCTGGCACGCTCTGCGCGTGTCCCGAACGTTGCGCACCTGGCACGGCTGGAGCGTGCGGCACACATGGCGCACGTGGATCACGTGGCGCCTGTGGCGCACCAGGCGTCCGGGTACATTCGGGCCACAGGGGTGCCTGGCGCACCGGGCGCGTGGCGCGCCTGGCACGCATGGCGCACCTCGCCCCCGCGTTGCGCACATGGGGTCTGTTTTTGGTTTCCATTAGCTGTCCATCCAAAGACTACCGCTGAACACGCTGCGGCTCGGGTGCTGCTTATGTTTTGCGAGGGCGGGTGGGAGTGAGCGAGACGGCTTGTGGGCAGGGGGGTGCCTTGAGCCCTCCCCCTCCCCCTCCCCCTCCCCCTGGACTGGACGGAGAGTTTCGCGACCCATTGGAGCGTCCCAGATGGCCTCGGCGCGAAGGCATAAGTCATTGATTTGGGTCAATTTGGCCTCGTTGGGGGGGGGGGCCTAATCTAGCACCCCCCCTTCTTGGATCGATCAAGAATGCCCCAAGGGAGAGAGCTCCAAGAGGCGCCCAGGAGGCCCCAAGAGCCCCCCCTAGGGGTCGCCAAGAGGCTCCAAAGAGACCCTCAAGAGGCCCCGAGCGGCTCCCCCGAGGCACCCAGGACCGCCAAGAGGCCCCCAAGACGCCCCAAGAGGACTCCAAGAAACTTTCAAGAGATATCCGAAGAGACTCCGAGAGGCATCCGAGGGGCCTCTGGCTAATCTGCTCGTTCTCCTCCTCCTCATCCTCCTCCTCATCCGTCTGTTCCTCCTCTTCTCCTCTCCATTTTCCCTCCCCCTCCCCTCCTCCCCTCCCCCTCCCCCCCCTCCTCCTCCTCCTCCTCCTCCTCCTCCTCCTCCTCCTCCTCCTCCTCCTCCTCCTCCTCCTCCTCCTCCTCCTCCTCCTCCTCCTCCTCCCCCGCCGATTCCTCCTCCATCCCCCCTCTTAGGGTATGACAGCTTCCCCAGCCCGTTAGATGCTTCGCGGAACCCTCCGTCCAGGTCCAGGAGAGGGGATGGGGCCTCCCCGAAGGGAAAGAAAGGGGCCGGAAGAGGAAACGCTCTAAACCACGTATACTGAATGGTTTAGGGCGTTTCCTAGATGCCTCCTAGATGGTGTCCAAACAGATGGGGTCGAAGGGTCGAAAAGCATCGCCGATGCGGTTCGATGTGGAGCCCGACTTTCTCCACGCCGACGTCGCAGATGCATCGCCGACGCCGCCTGCGCATCGACGATGTATCGCCGACGCGGCACGATCCTCCGACCCCATCTGCTCGGACCTCGTCTGGGAGGCCAACTTCTTCTTACACACCATCCAAGCGCCCGGGCCCCGCCCGGGGTTCGCGTCGCTCTCGCTGGCGCGGCGCCCCTTCGAAGGCGACCGCGCGGCCGAGTCGGGCGAGTCGGGCGTGACGGCCCGCTTGCTGACCCGTGGGCTGGGCCCGCTCTTCTGTGGCGACATCATCAGGAACGAGGAGCTCCGCTGCCCAGCACCTGGGGGAACCCGAAGATGCCAACACCGCTGCGGCGAGGGCAGTTCGGGTGAAGACAGGATCCCTTTGGCAAAACGCCCCTGTGTGAAAACTGCCAGGGGCACTCCGCGTGCGCACGGCACCGCATTCCGAGCGGACCCGGGGGCGGGGTGGCCAACCGACATCCCAAAACAGACGAAGGTATCTGGCGAGCCGCACATCGACCAGCGAAACCGACTGGGGACTGCACAAATACACTCGCATGCCAATGTCGAATGAACCGCTGCAAATTTCCTCAAACGACTTGTCTGGGTGGGCACCTTGCTGGCCTCCGGGAACCCTCCCGGAATCTGGAACCGTCAAAAAACGTCTCAGGATGCAAGACTGGTCCCGGGGAACGGCAGGAGTCCACGTCATGAAAAAAACGATAACACTGTTATGTCGGGGGTCTGGGGATGATGAGCCAGTGGATAAAGCATCCAAGGTCTGGAACCCAGTGGAACGCCAATCGTGAATCGACCATGCATATCACCGCCGCCCTCATCAGATGAGGAATTCTCCAGGGTCTGCTCTTGGGCACACATCTGAACGAATGCCCGCGCCGAAATTAATTACTGTTCGGACCTCGCCCAGGGTGCATTCCGACGAGAACTTCGAGGCGAACCTGGCCGTGGCGACGAGGGCCTCCCAGGAGGGCCAAGCAGGCGAAAACGTTGCATCTGGGACGCACGGAGGCATACCGATACGATATGTCCTCCTTGGAGGCGCGCGTCCGACCCGAACATGTACAGCACACCCGTCTTGTAGTACATCGTTTCACGGCGCACGTACTACAAGATGTCTCGGCGCGCGCGTCGCCCCCGGGGGGGAGCGACGCACGTATAGCAGAAGCTGAGCTGCCCAGGTACGCAATACGCAACACGTAGCGTGTCGACACGGAGCTCCGCACGTGGACCGAAAACGTGGGCCTCACGCGACACGCTCGCCGGGACGTGGGCCAATACGTGGAACCAACACGCCACGCATTGACACACACGTGTTGAGCACGGCACGTGCGGCGTATCGACACGGGCGTATCGAAGCAGCCGGGAGCAGGAAAAGTATGCTGCGGTGACGCCGAGCATCGGCACCTGACGCCGGGAGGCTGGCAGACCGTCTGGGGCTCTCCGGCTGCGGGGCGGGGCTGCCGGCCCCCCCGGGGAGCTCGCGGCCCCGCGCCTCCGCGCCGCACGGGCGCAGAGCGTCTCTCAGGGCGGCCCCCAGGTAGCCCTGCGCCTCGGCACGGGGGTCGACCTGCGCAGTGCCTCTCGTTTTCGTCCTGTTCTCGTTTCCTCTCGTTGTGTCTCCAATCGGCCTTTGCTGCAAAACGAGGCCGAACCGAAAACTGCCCACGAAATCGCCCAAACACCGCTGAGGCCGACCCCTGCCTGCGCCTCGGCGCCGCACGCGCGCAGGACGTCGCCCGTGGCGGCCTTCAGATGGGCCAGCAGCGGGTCGTGCACGAAGCGCTGGAGCTCCAGCCTCAGGCTCGCCCTCGTCAGGGGCCCGTCCATGCCCGCGTCCGCCGCGGCGACTGTGTCCCCGGCTTGCGCCCGGCCGACAGGCCACTCGCCGGAGGACGAGGAGCAGGGGGACATGGCGCCGACGGGTACGTCAGGGGCGGTGTCCTCGAAGGCTGCGCCCGGCAGCGAGAGGCCGTGCATCCCCTCAGGTCGCCGTGCGCTTCCTTGCATAGCGAGGTGCCGAGGCATCGGTCAGGATGGAGCTGTACACTTTATCTGGGTCCCACGCGACGGCCTGGAACCAAAAGTCTTGATCAGGATGGCCGCGGAGGAGGGGAGAAGAAGAAGGCGGAACAGGAACATCAATATGATGATGATGATGATGACGATGACGATGACGATGACGATGACGATGCTGATGCTGATGCTGATGATGATGATGATGATGATGATGATGATGATGATGATGATGATGATGATGATGATGATGATGATGATAATGGTGATGGTGATGGTGATGGTGATGATGATGATGATGGTGATGGTGATGATGATGATGATGATGATGATGATGATGATGAAGATGAAGATGAAGATGAAGATGATGATGATGATGATGATGATGATGATGATGATGATGATGATGATGATGATGATGATGATGATGATGATGATGATGATGGTGCTGATGCTGCTGCTGACGATGATGCTGATTCTAATAATGATGATGATAATGATGCTGCTGCTGATGATGATGAGTCTGTTGGAGATGAGTATACATATGAAGATGAAGATGGCAACTAATAGTATGGAGTAGATGATGGCGATGCTGATGTTGTTGATGATGATGAAGAAGCAAGTTATGATGATGACGGTGACGACGATGATGATGGTCATGATGCTGATGATGATACTGTTGATGATGATGATGATGATGATGCTGATGCTGATGCTGATGATGATGATGATGATGATGATGATGATGATGATGATGATGATGATGCTGATGGTGCTGACTACGACGACGATGGTGAGCGCGAGAAGGAGGATGAGGACGACGCTCATGCTGATGATAATACCGCCAATCATTTGCGACAGCGAGCTTCAGTAGCAGCAGCAGCAGCTGCAGCAACGTCGCTCAAGCGTCGGCGGAGGGGGGGGTGAATCCCACGGGGCCCAATCAAGTAATCTATCACGCTGGGTGATGCCGACAGGCTCTTTGAGGAATATGGGTGGAAAGAGGTCACCCCGATGACCGTAACAATAAAAGGGTAGGACGGCTTTTGTCCACTGCGCAGCAGTGGCGCGCGAGCCCCGGTATCGCGGCCTGCCCGCAAACGTTAAGGCTCGTCAGACAAGAAGAAGCCCGCCCACCCACACGCCTCGAGCAGGGACGATGGCCACGACGGGGTGTCCGCCTGGTGCCTTCTGAAGTGTGGTGCGGACCGTTTCTGCTGGCCACTGGGATCTGCGCATCGCCGCCCACTGGGAGAATAAATTCGTGCCTGCCCATGTCCAGGGTTGCGCGCAAGGGCTCCATTCTTCGCAACCCCAGCAGTCCAGGTAGGTCAGAGCCTGACCCTCGCACGATGGTTGCTGTGAAGCTGCGGGGTGCGGCGCGGCCGTGCTCATCTGCGACGGCCACCGGGGTGCTCGTCTGGCGGGTGCACTCTTGTCCCGCTGCCAACATCTTGGGTGTTCCAGGGCTTGCTCACGAGGAGCTCCTGTGGCCGGCGCCCCGCTTCGACGGCGCGTCGGCCATGAGGTTGATCCAAACACCTGCTGAGCTCACCCGTGATTTGCTGAATTAGGCTGTGATGCACCTGGTTGGCGAGCCATCTGGGGTGTCCGCATCTCGGCATCATCATCTTGTGGCGAGCCTTGTGGTGACGGTTGTCCCCGCCTGGACGCTGGCGTGCTGAAGGTGATTCCTCGTATCTGAGATCCCTGAGGTGTTCTTGGTGCCTCGTCTGCTGGTTCTGCTGAGCGTGGCGTGGACGCAACGCAGATGTGCGTGACCTCCTGCACTACCAGTTGCTGCCTGCACATTGGGCATTATGATAATGGTGCTCGCGTCTGGTTGCCTCGCCGCTGAGCCTCGACGTTCCTGAACTGGGAATTGTGGAGGCTCGTGGCGGCCTCGACGTCGGCGCAGCTCTGATGGAATTTGCGACCACGCCGAAGAGTTACACGCAGGTCTCATGCACTCATCCAAGCAGATGCTACACACGGTGTCTCCATCCACTTCCAAGCACTTCCATACCAATGGCCTCTCTTTCGGGCCGTATGTTCTCGAGCAGAGGAGGCGGACCTTCAATCGGCGGCCCAGCCGCGACCGGGGCGCTCATCTGCTGGGACCGCTCACGGCGGTGAGCGCGGCGTAGTTCGATCTGAGCGTTATGCGCGGACTCATGGCCGGCTAAGGCGGCGAGACGCAACGTGATCTCAGGGGCTAGGTCGCGTGCGAGGTTCGTTCTGAGGGCTGTGGTCGGCACTTCGGCAAGGTGCTCGGAGCCGCGGCCCTGCGCTCTGAATGGTGTCGCCCGAGCTGACTCTGCTGAAGCCTAGCTAGCTGGCTGAAGCCGTCGAGTTGCGGAATGGTGACTCACTAGCCGTCGGGGACCGCGAGTTGTCCAGTCGGCTGAATTGGAGCTCCCGCGCTGTACTGTTGATCATTGATAGTAGGCTCGCGGGGACCCCGTGGAGCTGGTGCCCGCGAAATGGCGCGTGCTCCAGGGCGTGACCGACCTGCTGACGCTGCCGGTTTTGAGGCTGCTGGTGTGGTTTTCGGAAAAACGCCCATCCCTAATGCGTGTTGAAGCGGTCCAACCCCTCGCCCCCAAATTCACAAGTCGGGGTGAACGACGCGGGGGAGGGAGAGTCGTTTCGTAAAAAAAACGCCCACATTTGCAAACTGCGGCCTGCTCCCTTAGATGAACATTGATATTGGGGGCGCGGGGCGCGCTCTTGCGCTATCTTCTAGTCGTTGCACCTGGGCGTTTCATTCGAACACGCCGGTAGGGCAGCGCCTCGAGAACGGCGGCAGCGCCGGGAACTGTGCTCCTGACGAAGGCGTGGCAAGATCTAATACCTGAGGCGCAGGTAGTGCGGTGGGCGCGTTGGCGCAAGTGTGCTCTGGACGGTAGCCAAACATGCTGCCGATCGTGGGCCGTGGACAGACTCGGGCATCCGGCAGGAGCCCTCGGACGCAGGCTGCACTGGAGATGGACCGGATACTGACGGCGGTTTTGGAGGACACTCGGTGACCACGCAGGCGACTCCTGAGATGCCTGCGAGAAGGCCAACTACTAGGGCACCACCGACGGGCCCCGAGTCGGCTTAACCTCCGAAGCTCGGGCCACCTCCTTGGGCACCTGAACTGCCAGAGCCCAGAGCCGACCTGTGGGCATTCCGTTCTGGAGTGGAACTCCGAACCGCCGATGCTGCGCGCCATCGCCGTCCAAGTGTACCCCTGAGGGCTCTTCTTGCGGACCTTGCTTTTGCAGCTGGACCGCTTTCCGTTGCTGTCTCCTTTGCCTCCATGGAAGGAGGTGCCGACTTACTTGGTCGTCGGTCCAGTTGGGTGAAGAACCTGTACTTGGTGGCCCCATTGCCTTCGCCTTCACCCTTGCCGGCGAACGCACGTCAATTCTTCTTGATCAACATCCAGATTTCTCCTGTGGGTTTCTTTTCATGGCGTCCCCACCTTGAGATTTTTCACTTGCCAGAAAAGCTGGGCGTCAATCTGGTTTGGCGAGCCTCTGAACTACTCCGACGCGTAGTTCATAGCGCACCCCGGGTCTGAGCTGGCGCCGGAACTGGTACCGCTCGCGCACCGGTGGCGAGCCTGCGCTCCATCGGCGGGCGGCCGCGCGGCGCTCGGCTGAGAGCTGCTGGCGCGCGCGCAGACACCTCAGGCGCCCGGGAGCTCGGCGGCACTAGCAGGCCAAGGGTCAAGCACTCGAGAGTGCCACAGGTATGCTGCGCGCGTCGAATTGGTTACTGCTGTCGTTCGTCATGCCTGCGAAACCTCCGAAGGCTGGCGGTGGACGGAGGGCGCTGGCAATGTTGTTGGGCACGTGCTCCCCGAGATGGCCAGCGCGCGTGAGCATAGTCGTGAGGCTGTTGAACTCGGGCTCTGTTGCTGGCTACCTGTTGCCGCAGGGCTGGAGCAACATCAGGCGCTGACTGGCTATAGCGCCGACCGCTCGGAGCAGCAGCCAACTGTAGCCTTCCCACGACATCGCAGCTCCACAAGAGTGCGCCGCTCTGAATCGCCATGTGAAAAACTGAAAGAGCAATGCGTCGGTGGTCTAGTTGCGTGGCCTCGAGAACTCGAAGAGCTCCCAGGGAGCTTGCAAATTGGGCCGCGAGGTTTGCGAGGGGGCAAGTGACGGCGTCTTCCGAATGTCCGTTGATCAGTCCTCCTGTCATCTCCGTGAAGTTGCCATATTCAGAAGGATTGCTGCACACAGTTGGGCGCTGTCCATGTCGGTGGCGAGTACGCTCCGCGCGAGTAAGTCCTACACTTAATGGCGGAAGCGGTAGGCGGACTCCCGTTCGGGTGAGTAGGAAGATGGTTGGCGGGTGGTGATGCCGCCTCTGCCACCGCCTCCGCATCGGCTCCCCTAGGCATCATACAGACGAACAAAAGCAAGGCGATCACGGAGGTGATGAGGATACCGCCCAGCAGTGCAACATTGGAGCTCCTCCTGTGAACAAAGCCGTCGCTCTTGCCGCGCAAGCGACTTGGGATTCGGACCTGCACGGAGACGAAAGCCATGTCGACAATTGGGGGAATCGCAGTAGTGCTAGACTCCCTGATGGTTTTAACAGGTCGGGAAACAGGTGCGTGAACCAGCTTTAGACCATTGGGAATGCGCACCGTGATGACTAAGATGAAAACCTGCACCACTGCGCCCAATCCGAGCCCAAGCGCTGGCCCAGTCGTGTGGTCTAGCGCAAGAGTCTGCGCCCCGCTGCCAACGCCGGGAAAATGTTGGAGGGGGCCGAAGCATCGCTGCCTCCTTGGGTCGCCTTACCCATGCACCGGGCCATTTGCCCCCCAAGAGACCATGCACTCAAAGGGTCACTTGCGGTCGCTGGCATTCTCCTCGTCACGCCTGTGGGGGCGGCGGGCGAATTCCGGTGAGGGTTGCAGGAAAAGCCATAAGCACAAAAGCTGTTCAGGGAACGGAGGGTGGAGCCATTGCGGAGGGTGAGTGAAGTGCGAATGTGCGTTCACATGGCTCTCTGCGTCTTCCGTGGATCGCCAAGTGGGATCGCTACCAGCTCCGCTGCCAAGTAGAACTGCGGGGGGCGGAAGCGAGAAAGACAGCATGGTGGCAACACGGATGTGCGTAGC